TCAACGAATATGCTTTTTATAGTTTTAGGTTTTTGGAAACTAAACACACACACACACACACACACACACACACACACACACACACATATATATATATATACATATATTACCTGAGATATCATTAGAAATATATTGTGAATATTCAGTATGTCATTTCATAAAAATCTATTCTAGAATTTGTATTTATTTTTTAATTTACTTTTTTTTTAAATGAAAACCAAGCACATGGACACACAGACTCGATAATTAAACATCCACCTTTTATCCATCCGTTTCATCCCTCTATCGTTCAGCTGTTTGTTTTTCAGGAGCGACGGGATCAAGCGGTTGTTACGGCTGCATCACGCCGTCCTCCGGTCCTCCGCTGAGCGGCCGGCTGTCCTTGGCACGACTCTCACCTGCGCGCGGTAGATGAAGGGATAAACCAGCTGAAGATGATGGAGGGGGAAAGAGGATTCATCTCCTTCATTTCAGCCTCATGACACCAAACCATTCTTCTGTAGATCAGGTAGAATAGAGTCATAGAAACTGAGATGTTTATGTGGTTATTCATGCCTTTTGCTATCATAAGAGATGGAAAATGAGGGAACTTTGGGATGGATCAATGGGAAAGAATCCAATTTAGATCTCTTTAATATTTCAGGGTGTTTTCTTGGTTTGGTTGATTTGGACTGAACTGAACTCAACATAACATGACAATTACAACCCGTTTCACTTCTGTAATTTATAAGTGCAAGCAAATGTAGTTCAGTGAGGCTGCATTTATTTTGATCAAAAATACAGTAAAAATGTGAAATATTATTAGAATTTAAAATAACCATTTTCTATGTGAATATCTGTTAAACTGTAATGTATTTCTGTGATGCGCAGCTGTATTTTCAGCATCATTCCTCCAGTCTTCAGTGTCACATGATCTTCAGAAATCAGTATAATATGCTGATCTGCTGCTCGAGAAACATTATTATCAATATTTAAAACATTAATATTTTTGTGGAAACTGTGATGCATTTTATTTTTCAGGATTCACAGATGAATAGGAAGTTCAAAAGAACAGCATTTAATTGAAATAGAAATATTTTTTAACATTACAAAGGTCGTTACTGCAGGCTTATTATCGTTGATTAAAACTATTAAAACATTTTTGTTAATAATAAAATATAAATATTAGATGAAAAACGTTTCAGCAACATTTCTAATTTTTGTTTAGTTTAAGTTGAAGGACTAAAAAAAAACTAACTGGAAATAAAATAAATACTAAAACTGAAATTAAAATAAATACCCCTAAATAGTACATTTTTTGATGATTGTCAAAAGCACATAACAAAAAATAAAATTAAAATTAAAACTAAAAGTATAGAAATAAATGCTACAATAGTATATGATATAAATAATAATAAAACAACACTGCTTTACTGTCACTTTTGATCAGTTTAATGCATCCTGGCTGAATAAAAGTATTAATTTCCATAAAAAAAACTCACTGAGAGTAAGGTGAGCGAAATTAATACATTGATGATGAATTATACACTGCTGCATTATAAATTTCGCATACTTCATTTAAAGGGGTCATATGATGCGATTTCAAGTTGTTCTTTCTCTTTGGAGTGTTACAAGCTGATTGTGCATAGATAAGATCCCTGAAGTTGCAAAGACTAAAGTCTCAAAACCAAAGAGATATTCTTTATCAAAGTTAAGACTCTGCCACGCCCCCCTAAAACGGCTCGTTCTAACACGCCCCCACATATCTACCTCACAGGCGATTATGGCAAGAGGCGTTACATTTCCGACGCGTGCTTGTGGTGTTCGGCCAATCACAATGCACTGGGTCAGCTGGCCAATCAGAGCAGACTGCGCTTGTCGGAAGGAGGGACTTTGTAGAAAACGAAGCGTTTGAGAGAGGCGGGGCATAGAGGACCTACAATACTGTACAGTATTTGAAAAATAATGTGTTTTTTGAACATTAAAGCACGTCAACATATTCTGTTACACCAAATAATGATCTTTAAAAAAAGCATCATATGACCCCTTTAAGTGGTAAAAAACTTATTTTTTGTTTGTTTTGGCACTTGCTATTTGAACACACACATGATTTGAAAAAGTTAAATGTTCCTGAAAGAAAAACAGTCACACTTGTATTGTTTGCAGTCAAACATAACAGCAATTGAAACTAATAGAAATAGAATTTAAATTCCATCTGGAAGCGTTTGGTACTGCGCTTCAACAATTTTTGCGATATCAACCTCAAATTTGGAACACAACTGGTTTACATTTAGTCATTTAGCAGATGCTTTTATCCAAAGCGACTTACAAATGAGGACAATAGAAGCAATCAAAACCAACAAAAGAGCAATAATATATTGTGTATAAGTGAATTATAAGTGAAACAATAATAAGTGTAACAACAAATGACAAGTCTCGCAGTACATGTAGCAAAGTGTATATATATATATATATATATATATATATATTATACACACACACACACACACACACACACAAAGAAAAACAAGTAGAAAAAAATTGAAAAAATAGAAAGCTAGTGTTTTTTTTGTTTTTTATTTAAATTTTTAAAAAATTATGATTTTTTTTTTACATTTAAAGATTTTAGAGTAAAACATGTTTCGGAAAATTAATATCTAAATCTATATATATTTCATATGAATTTTTACAATTGTATTTTTATGCTTTTACTTTTTCATAATAAACTTAAACTTCTATAACTTTTTCTTTAGTTTCACTTTTCGAACTTTAACAAATCTGCCAAGTATCTTCTTTAAAAAGAGACCAAGACTCCAAAGCTTTCAAGATTTATGACAGTTTTAAGTGAAGTGGAAATGTAATTTACAGGTCTATGCTCAAAAACAGGTAATAAATGAATCATAACAGTTCCATAAATATAATTTAGTAGCATAAACCCCCTTACAAATACAAAATATTAAATAAAAACCATTATCAAACTAAAATATAGTACATTAATTTCATTAAAATAAAAAAGTCAGTCATTTTTAACACTGGAGGGTTAATGTGAGACTATAGAAAGGCTTCTGCAGATTTTTGCTCTGAAACCCTGCACTCGAGCGTCCGCTAGATTTACACAAACACAAGAGAGCGTGTGGCCTTTACTGCAGTCCATGAATGTGCTGTGACCTTTCAGCTGGAGAACAGCGAGATCTGTCTCGCCCGGTTGTGCATTATTATGATGAACGATGTTCATTAACCCGGTGAGCGTATCAATTAGCTCTAAACGAGCGAGAGAAACGTACTTTACTTCAGTTCTTTCATTACATCATAGCCTTTTAAAGTTTCGGATGTTGGAGTTTCTGTGTATATTCATCCTTGATCACTTCTTTTCACTGTAATCTGTAATTCTCGGCTCTTTTATTGATCTCTGCTCGCAGGTTCATCATGAAAAACGATGCAGCTGTCCTCACTTGAACCTCAAGCCCATCTGTCTCCATGGAAGTTATTTCCCATAATGCCTCTGTCCCTCAGAGCGGGAGCCGCTGATAGAGACAGTGGGAAGGCCATTTTTCTCTCTCCACTTCCAGCAAAAGTCATCATCAGTCCATCAAAGCCTGCCTGAGATTGATTGGCGGCTCTATCCACCAATGAGAGACGCGTCTGCTTTGTAAGTGTCCAGCAGCTGTGCACCAGTGTTATTCTAGTATCATTTATAAAGTATTACAGTTTTTACGAACATGTCGAATTAGTTTCTATTTTTATACTTTCAGTTTTCATTTTAATTTCCTTTAAAGTGTTTATGTGCTTTGGTATTTTTTTATTTAGTGTAATTTATATTTATTTCAGTATTATTTTTATTTTATTTCTACTTAGTAATTTTACTGCTTCAGCTTACTGACTGAAAAAAATATAATAATAATATTTCTATTTTTATTTCAGCTGCTTTTTTCATTTTTATTAGTTTGTTTATTTTAAATATTACTATTTAGGGTTCCTTTAATTTAAAATAATATAATAATAATATTATATAATAATAATCATCATAATATTTGATTAGATTTTTTATTTCAGCTACATTTGTCATTTTTATTAGTGTTTGTTTATTTCTATTTAGGCGTAATTATCATTTTAGTTAATTTTTGTAATGTTTATATGTACTTTTGTCAATTTTGTATTAGTTTTTGTTTATCTGAAATATTACTATTTATGGTTCATTTATTTCTTTTTTAGTTTTTATTTATTTTATTACCAGTTAGTCATTTTAGTGCTTTAACTTAAAATAAACAAAAATGTTTTTCATCTAATATTTTTATTTTATTTTTGTATTGTTTTACTTTCAGCTGCTTTAGTCATTTTTATTCATTTTTGTTTATTTTAAATATTTCAATAGGTTTATTTTTATTTATTTTAGTAAAATTTTTTAGTACTATTTTATGTGTTTTGTCATTTTTATAGATTTTTTTGTTTGTGACTATTTATGGTTCATTTATTTTTATTGCTGTTTTAACTTTAATAAAAAAATTAAAGGAAATTATATTTTGCTTAATGAAAATGAAGCCTGTTTTTAGGCATTGTGACATTGTTTTAATGACAATTAAACCCATAAAATGCTCATTAATATAATGCAACAGGATGTTTTTATTTTTTCTCTCCTTAAAATAGGCTTCACTTTCTTTATGCAAATAAAAATGACAAATTTTAGAATGAAATGTGACACGCTAAAATCATGCCAGGATTCAAGGAATTCATGCAGACAGTCACATTATTAATATTAATGTGACAGTAAATGTTCTTCTCTCAGAAGTGCTCTCATCTTTGAAGGCATTGCAGGAAGAGCAATGGGAAATTTAAACATATAATTATAGTTTATTACATAACGAAGGACTCCATGGAGATTTCTTCTCGCAAGCTTATATGCATAATTAATATGCATGAGATGAGCGATGAGAATAATCTGCTCGCATAATGCACACATTTCACACCAACCTGCTGTGAATCTGTTTTGGGCTTCAGCCAATGAAATAAATAATAAGACGCCATAAACAATGCAGGATTTCTCTTTGTGTGTCGGTTTAGATGGGGAATAGATTAGAAGAAATCATGTTTTGTTTGAGCAGATGTTGTGTTACTGAGCATATAATGTGCTGCATGAAATCAGCAGGAACATTTACCGTCTTGATTCATGTTTCCGAATGATTTATCAATGCATATTATTCTAGAAAAACAAAAATCAAATGTTTGTTTTTGGAATGTAATACTTTGCTTGGTTAATGTCACTTCGAATATCAATGCAGCATTTCTAAAATCTTGCCATTAATAAACAGAGTAATTTAAAGCTGGCTGACACTAACACAATAAAGGTTACGGTAATAACGGCAAATAAGGGTCTTGAAAAAAATTGAAAAAAGTCACATTTATTTATATACCGCTTTATGCCGTAGGGATGGTTTCAAAGCAGCTTCACATTAATAAACAGGAAAATAAGAGCGTTAATTTTGCAAACTAATTCAAGTGTCATTATTCAGATCAGTTCAGTTCAATGTTAATTTAATATCACTGAGATACTGTGAATTTGTATTAAAAATGATTATT